ATTGTTGAAAAATATAATCGCAATTATTTATACGTAGAACATAAGTTCCTTTATATTGATTTTCAATTTACAAATTATAAATATTGCTTTTTTCATCAGGCCAATATTTAACGTTAAATACAATACGATCGATAAATTGATAATTATAAAGAAGCTCTAAGTTTGGAAAATGTAAACGTTGTAATGAGGATAACACAAGTGAGGCATGGTGTTTCACATGCGATCCAGACACGACAATTCGAGAATGGACAAGTGGAAATAAAGATATTGACAATCTAGAGCTAATAAATATGAACGTATTTCATTTGATAGATTAGATAATATTGAAATAATTGGCCAAGGAGGATTTAGCACGGTATATTCTGCAACCTGGTTAGATGGTTAGCGAAAAATCGAAAAGGTGAAAAAAAGCAGAGATGGAGACAATGCTGATATCGAAGAATATGTAAGATCGCGTGAATCATCTAGTATCGTTGCGCTCAAGACTTTATTTTGTCCTAAATAAAGCCCTTATTACTGTTTAAAAGAAGTAAGCTATTACGTATATTGAACTCATTCATTTATACGATTTATAAGTTTGAGAGCCTCATAAAATGTGGATTTTGGGTAGTGGGCTTAAAATATATGGATTGACTCAAAACACAAATATAAATGAATATTTGATGGTATTTCAATACGCCAATAATGGAAATCTTCATAAGTTTTTAAGAAACAAATTTCAAAATCTTACCTGGAAGACTAAATTAAACCTTTTGCCAGATATTTCACTTGAACTACGAAATATTCATTATGCAGGATATATTCATGCAGACTTTCACAGTGGTAATATTTTACAAGATGAAAGTATTAGTAAAAGTTTGCAATCTTATGTCTCAGATCTAGGACTGTCTAAAAGGTATAATGAAATTGATTCAGAAGGCAATATTTATGGAGTCATGCCTTATGTTGCTCCAGAAGTTTTATCAGGGCAAAAGTCTACAAGAGCGGCTGACATTTATGGCTTTGGAGTCATCATGTCAGAGATGTCAACCGGACAAAGACCTTTTGATGGTTACGAATTTGATATGGGTCTTGCAATGAAAATTTGTAAGGGATTACGGCCAGAATTTGCTCCTGGGACTCCAGATTGTTACATTAAATTAGCTAAGCAATATATGGATTCTGATCCAACAAATCGGCCTACTGCATATGACATTTGGAAAAAATTTAATGAATGGAATAAAAACATGGGTGATTCAGACGATGGAGATGCAGATAAAATTAAAATGCAATTCTTCGAGGCGGATAAAATAGTCAAAATATTGCAAATTGTCCCACCAATACATTCTGATTTATGTATACTAGCAAAATGATTAATATACAAAAAATTTCGAGTGCAATTAAAGGTATTTAAATTTAAAACTTACACTATGTGTATATTCTTATTAAAATTTTGACATTGTTTTTAGTGAACATACCAATCGAATCTATTGAAGCATCTACTGGTAAGGCCGTTTGAAGTTAATTCTTCGGTTAACATCGCCTTTAGAACTCATGGGGAAACGAACATAAAAATAGTCCAATTTCATTGGTCGACGTAAATCAAATAATTGACGAGAGTTATCCAGCGTTTTGATTACTTCAGCGGGGGGATGTTAACCGAAGAATCAAATTCGAACGGCAATTACTATATATGCTTATTATGAATCATGCCTACCATGTTTGATAGATACTTAATAAAATTTTGAATTTGTTTTTAGTGAGCAAACCTCACGATTCTATTGAAGTTTCTGCTGGTAATTACGATGTTAAACTTTTTAAACAAAATTTTGCTTGATATACTATTATTAACTTTTGGATTTGTTTTTAGGAAGCAAACCTATCGATTCTATTGAAGTTCCTGCCAGTAAGCACCATGGTAAACTTGTTTATAGCTAAACAAACTTTGCTCACATTTTAATACATATTTAGATTACTAAAAAAAAAGACATTAAATCAAATTACTTCACCTCCAACGATGATAGTCACCTGAAATAAATCGACCATAACCGATTAAATATTAGTAATCGATTATAATCAGTGTCAAATGTCCCAATAGATGTAATTTTTAATAATTTTATAAATTGATTATTTAAAATAATACATCGCAAAAGACTATTTGTAATAATATATAAATATTGTTTTACATAATTGTCATTTTACAAATATTTCGTATAAATACATAAATAAATCCAAGCTTTTAATTTAATACAGTATACAATAAATTTGAATCAATATTTTAAAAAGAACTTAATAAAATGTAAAACTAATTATTAGATTCATTTTGAAGCAAATCAATATTAAATTTTTTCACAAATTCAACAGCTTTAGAAAAGTTTCCTAAAGCAGCATCTCTAATATATTCAATACCTTTAGCTTTGTCTTTTTCAAAGTTGAGTTTTCCATTATAATATGTATCACCTAAATGCCACATAGCAGCAGAATCATCACCATTAACAGCCATGTTTAAATATTTAATAAATTCATCTCTTTTTTCTTTATTTGCACGAAAATCAGCCAAATCATCAGTAAGAGAAAGTGCATAACGAACTTGTGCTCTCGTATCACCCATATCAGCAGCAGTTTTAAACAATTTGTTAGCCATTTCCTGATTTTTCTCAACAACATATCCTTCTAAATAATAATAACCTTTCCAATATATTGCAGTTGGATTGTCAAGATCAGCATGTTTACGAAAACATTCCCAAGCCTTTTGTCTATTGTGATCTTTGTGAGCACGAACACCTTCTTCAAAAGGAATTACGGGACGAACTGTAGAGTTTGTAGAACTTTCAGACCCCAAGTAATTAGTTTCTTCAGAAACTATTTCAAGAGCTGAGTCACCAGCATGGGTAGAGTCATATTTTTTACATAATTTATCTAAGTCTTCAAGCAAGACTTGAAAGTTTGGACGATATATAGGATTTCCTTGCCATGCTAAAATAGCAAAACAAAAAATTATCAAAACCAAATGATAATCAGAAGAATAGAAAAAAAATATAGATAACATAATTTACCATCTGCAATTATTTGAGTATAAGCTTTAGGAATACATAATGCACCAAGTTTATGTTTAAAAATTTCTCTGCCACCTTCAATCACATAATTTCTAATAGATTGTTTAGGATGAATTTTTTCATATGGAACCTTTTGGTATGCAAGTTCCCAAAGCAACATACCAAAGCTATCAAATTGAAAACAAAATTTAATAAATTTATTTTAGCAATTCCATTTTAAATAACAGATAAATTAAAAGAATGTTAATATTACCTATAAACTTCACATTTATGAGTGTACGATTCACCTTTCATCTTCTCTGGAGCCATCCAAGGAAACATTTCAATAGGATTATCGATATAAGTTGTTTCTTGTCCCGTTTTACGGCAAAGTTCAAAATTTGTTATTTTAGGTTCTAATCTATCAGTTAGCTACACACAAATTGATAATTTTAGTTGAAACATTATAGTAACAACTTTTTAGTAATAATAAATGAATAAAGAATTACCAAAATGTTTTCACATCGAACATCGTGGTGAAGAACACCCACATAACACAGAAAATTGAGACCATGACAAATATCACGCGCAATTTGAAGCTTTGATTTCCATAAAAGTGGCTTTGCTGAATAATATTCTTTCAAGTTTCCTTTATCAGCCCAATCATAGACCAAAACAGTTTGACCATCCACATTTGAAATACCATGAAACTTAATAATATATCTACATCGTTGTAATTCATTTAATATAGCAAGGCGACCTTGCTGTTTGTGATACTGTGGTGAATCATTATTTAAAATCTCGAATGGTTTACAAGCGACTTCCATTGCTAGATAAACCTTTTTCTTAACTTTTCCATGGGATGCGCCTCTTCTAGGATCAGTAATTTCTTTAGGAGCAATCTGTGGAGCTTTAAATGTGATCCAAACATTACTCTTAGAATCGTTATTGAGCACTTCATTTGCGATAGCAATTTTTTGTACATGTTCAGCAGTGGTTTCTACGCAATCTAATATTTTTTCTAAATACTATAAAAAATTAAAGTATATATGTACATAAGTTATCATATTAAGAGAATTATAGTTAATCTGATATATTATATTTGTATCTAAAAAAGATAAATACCTGTTGCATCGTATTAAGATCTTTTTCAATTTTTTTATTTTCATCTACTTTATCAATCATTTGGTTAGCAATCATTGAAAACTGTAAATCGTTCATTGATTCATTAAAGTCTTGTCTAAGTTTATCAATATTTTCCCTGATTTCAGTTGCGTTAAAAAACCTCTTTCTTTGATTCATTTGGGAAACATCTAAAACAAATTTTTTTATACTACGAACAATATTACTAAATTTTACAAGAGCATCTAGAAAAGCTTGATCTTGAAACTTTTCTATATTAGATTCTTTAGAAGTTGTCAATCTTTCGATAATGTATTTAGCAATCCTCATTCGTTCTACAAATACCAAACAAATATTTTTATTGTATTTAGCATCTTCATAAATTTTAATTATAGCATTTGCAGCACTTAATATGATATCAATATATGGTACGAAGGGTTTAAATATTTCAGTTATTGTTCCAACTCCGTTGAAAACCGTTTTTGCAGTATCAATTTTTTCATTAGAATTATGTTCTTCATTTTCATCTTGTTTTTCATCTTGTTTTTGATTTATTGTTTCATTTTGTTTTTCATCTTGTTTCTGATCCATTGTGATTGTTATTAAATATATTCAAATTTAATTTATCCGAGAATGAAAGTTTGTTGCAATAGTGTAGATTTAAGTTCATTTATGGTCACGTCACACATTATGGGTGTACAAAATGATAAAAGTGAAAACTATTGAACAAATTGTACATCGTGACTAATATAATTTTTTTGAGAATGTCATGTTTCACTCACAAAAAACAAAAGTTTTTTTCGTAAGAACTCTAATCTTTACCATGTGAAATAATAAAAATACTATACTGCTTAAAGAACAAAATACTTTACCACTTTATTACATTACTGATACTAAAAATAGGTTAGTACTGTAATATTATATTATATTGAACTTACAGTAACTCGTTGGCTAGATAAGTGGACAAATATATGTGGTATTAATCAATTAATATTAGAAAAACGATTAAAGTTTAATAATGTCAAATATTTATATAGCGGAATCGTACATATAATTCTATTGCAAATTCGAATAACAGAAGGGAATTGCATTCCATTTTATTTGAATGTGAGTTGTTGTTTTTATGTATTGAAATATATAATATAATAAAATTTATATTCTGTAGTTTCACATAAGTAAAGATCCCGCACGTATCTATTTGATATTGTCACAATAAACTCAACTTGAACTGTCAAATTTAATAATAAAAAAAAAGTTTTAAAATGCACCATACAGGGACCAAACTTTAAACATGAACAATAAGAAAGTACTTTATAATGGTCAATTTAGAGATTGTGGGATTTATCTGTACCTTGCAATATTGGGCTAAGAAATTTTTTAAATTTTCAGAATTATTTTTATCATAATTAGCATTTTTTTACTTAAAATAGTACTTATTTGCCAAATGTTTCTGTAAGCAACCTTTCAATTAATTTATAAAAAAAAAATAATTAAAACTATATTATATGTATAAGTTTTTTAGATTACACTTATCATTAGGTATTAACGATTTTGCTTCGATAAAGTATAGATCATTTCACAATTAAATGCAGAATCGACAAAAGCTTGTGAGAAACAGCATATAAATATTCTAAACTATTGCTTGAAACAAAACCTTTAGCCTTAAGTGATCACATGAAAGAATATAAAGATTGAGTAATTGTATTCGATATTAACTTATGGTTCCACGTATGAGTATGACATGATTCTCCCAACGATATCCGGAAGATAACCCTCTAGGAACTAGTATTACAGCACATTGGTGTGAAATGCATAATACAGGGATTTTGAGCATTGCTCTCAAGTAAAGCGATCGGTAAAAAGGAACAATAGCAACTGTTGAGGAGATAAATGATATACTCATACTTAATTCTCAAATATTACCTAAAAAATGTTAAATACATTAACTCTTCTCAATTGTACATTGTATAAGTTAATATCATGTGCAATTATTTTGGTCTTCTCGAAAGCATAAATAAAATTGCATCTTTAAAAACAGAATTTAAATTTGTTTCTTCAAAACTATCAATATCGTTGGATACAGTCAAACCTCCCTAAGTGCAACTCCTAAGGACCAAACTTTTAAATTTTGCATTAAGAGAACAGTATGAAAATTGCATTTATAGGCTGGTATATGTTTTGGCCTGAAATAAAGATTGCATTTAGAGAGATACTACATCAGGTCAGTTGCATTTAGAGAGGTCTGTCTAAATTTAAATAGCGTAAAAGGTCGTATAATTTATGATATGGCTGCGTTAAATTTGTTGAAAAAGAAACAAAAAATTGCGTATTTGAATCCTGTTAAAAATCAAGAATATTGCATTTGTTAATCCAACCTTGGATTATTGAAACTATCAAGAAAGGTGGTCAAATACTTTCTCCATGAATCATAAATTGTTAAGGCTGGAAATGGTTCATTTTTTTAATAAAATAGAAGATTATAAGTAAAAAACAAACAAATAAAAAAAATATTTTTAGATAGACGCTTAAACCCATTATAATTAATAGGCTACTACAGTATTCTTCGCAATGCTTATAGGTTTAATTTTAAAAATAAAATTAAAAAATCGTAAAAAATAAAAATAAAATAAACAATAGTAATTATCATCCAAACTTTATAAAAAGAGCTTTCGATGCTGAATAGTGAGCAAAATTTCATAACTAAAAATTGTACTAAATAAAGGTAGTGATGCTTTTTTTCACAAATTTACATAAATGAAATATTTTACCCAATAACTACGTGACAAATTTGGTAACTGATGTCACAAAAGAAAATACGAATAACAAAGTGCATTTTAAGATGTAAGCAAAATATTTCAAAGTTTCACAAAATATACTTCACTAGATTAAATATTAAACAATATTAAATTCGTAATACCAATAATACAAACAAAATTGATATTTTATTAAAATATGTTAACAGTGACCTTGAATCCATCGTTTTTTTTTTTTATATAGCCCTAAGTTAGAAAAATGGAGAAAGATTACGAGCTACTTTTTAATCAAAACTTTGAAGATATGATTTCTGCTGCTAAAATGAACAATCTTGGATACCGTTATCAATATGGAATTCAAGTCAAAAAAGACGAACATAAAGCATTTATTTATTATCAAAAATCTGCCGAAATTGGGCATGCTGATGGAATATATAGACTTGGATATTGTTATGAGAATGGTATTGGAATTGAAAAAGATGAAAGAAAAGCGTTATTATACTATCAAAAGTCTGCTGACATGGGACATATTGAAGGAACTCTTAATCTAGGCCGTTGCTATCGGAATGGAATTGGTGTCGAAAAAGATGAATATAAAGCATTTAGTTATTATCAAATATATGATGAAATAGCAAATGAGTCACAATCAAATAAACTTGATGGCTATCAAGATAAAATTGGGGCTGAAACGGATGAAAATAGAGAAACTGCATATATTTATTACCAAAAATCTGTTGAAATGAATAATGTTATTGACACAAATAACCTTGGATATTGTTATCAACATGGAATCGGTGTTAAAAAAGATGAATATAAAGCATTATTTTATTATCAAAAATCTGCTGATATGGGGAATGCTAATGGAATGTGTAATCTTGGACATTGTCACAGAAATGGAATTGGTGTTGAAAAGGATATGAATAAAGCAATAATTTATTATCAAAAATCTGCTGATATGGGAAATGCTTGTGGAATGCATTGGATTGGAGCTTATTATCTAGATGGAATTGGAATTGAAAAGGATGAACATAAGGCATCCATTTATCAACGAAGATCTGTCGAGTTAGGGTGTAATTTAGGACTAAATGCTATTGGATTTAGTTATGCGTTTGGATATGGAGTTGAAGTAGATATGCATAAGGCAATCTCTTATTATATAAAGGCTGCAGAGCTTGGAAATATTAATTCAATTTATAACGTTGGATGTTGTTATGAAGACGGAGAGATCGGTGCCAAAGATGGATATGAGGCATTTATATATTATATGAAATCTGCAGAGTTAGGTGATATCGATGGCTTTTCTAAAGTTGGTGATTGTTTTCGAAATGGAATTGGCGTAGAAAGAGATTTACAGAAAGCTGATTATTGGTATTGGAAGTAAGTATTTCAAATCAAATTTGTAATATTCATTCCTTTTATAATTTTAATAAATATAATTAAATAATTGATAGAGCAAAGAATACGGAAATACACAAACAGACAGGTAATTAATTAATTAATTTTTACATATAATTGAAATTTTTAAAAATCGAGTTAATATCCTTTTAGCAACGAATAAATTAGATCTTATAAAGTACAATATCGGGGATGATTTTATAAATATACTTGGTGAAGAAAAAAATCAATTGTCATACATTCAGTATAATGAACTTAAATCTATTAAAAAGATTGGGAAAGGTGGATTTGCAACGGTATATCACTCTACATGGCGTGACCTAAGTACGGATTCAAATTATGAATTTGCAATTAAAATATTTCATGGGTCTAAATATTGTCATGGAGATTTTTTAAAAGAGGTAATCTTTATTTTTGATATAACGCTTATAGTCGATTTACAATAATCATTTAAGTCGATTTAGTAATTAAACCAATTTATTTTTAACTATACCATTGAAGCTAAAGGCTTATTGTAATATTAGAAATAAAAATCCTTCATTTTTAAAATGTTATGGAATGACAAAAGATGATAATTCAGATTATATACTTATTTTACAATATGCCAGAATGGGTTCTTTGCGTAATAATCTTCATTCCATATCACAAATGAATTGGAAAGATAAGTTAACATTGTTACATTGTATTGCTTATGATCTTCAGATAATCCACTCTCATAATCTTATTCACCGAGATTTACATAGTGGAAATATTTTACAAGATGATTTAAGTAGTGCATATATAGCAGATTTGGGACTTTCAATAATGTCCAACATAAAACTTAAAGAAGAAAAATCTAATGGAGTTTATGGAATTTTGCCATATGTGGCTCCGGAAGTACTGAATGGAGGAATGTATACTACAGCATCAGATATTTATTCATTCGGAATTATAATGTGGGAAATTTTGTACGGAAGATTAATATTTTATGACCAGAATATCGGGCCATCTCTTCAAGAAGACATCTGCTACAATGGATTGCGACCAAATATTATAGATAATTCTCCGAGAGATTATATAAATTTAATGAAAGAATGTTGGAATGAAGTACCAGAAAAACGTCCATCAGCAGAAGAAATTTGCAAAATTTTTACAGAATGGCAACGTGATGATAACATTATGTTAGAATTATCTGAATCTGAATCAATAATTAACAATTATAAAAATATACATCAGGAAACAAGTTTAGAAATATTAAGTGGGAGTAAATTTATTCCTTATACTAAATCGCTATCGCAACCTTGTTACAAAGGTAAAGTTATTTTATAGATTTTTTTTTTGTTCAAAGTACGTATAATAATTTACTGATTAACCAATCTACTAATAGGCAGTAAACAAAGTAACTTTAATATAAACAGTCAATAGTATAATTTTTATTTAGAACAAAGTTCAAGGATCTATATTGAGAAAAGGTGTTTGATTTGTTATTTACAAAATTTGCTATGTTTATTTATATGTTTATGCAGGCGGCTCGTTGCCTGATTTTAGTAATTAGAAATCAAGTTGTATTGTCTGATAATTATTTGGATGATGTTGATGATTAATGACTCCATATTTATAAATATTCACGAATTTGTACAGTATGATTTATTTCGAATACCTCAGTTTATAAATATTTATTTTATTTTTTTGCTTATATACTAAATTACTGTAATATGAAATTATTGATGAACGGTGATCTCTATTATTCAAATAGTTAATACAAATTAAATAAAAGAAAAGCAAATAATCACGAACTTATTTGATAATAAATCACAATGCAACCTGTGATGATATTTGCAAGGTTTTTAGTATAGATTTTATAATTCAGATTAGCTCTCATAGTGCGGGTTATGCGTGTTTCACGTCAGAAAGCACGAATTTCTGCTAGTAATATATATAACAATGGTATGAGTAAAACTTTCCTTCGTGGCACTGTAAGGAAATTTGGGTAGTTTCAAGAACAGTGAACCCAGTGATAATCCCATCACATGATAAATCATTCGGCCTAAGTTAGGGTTAGTGTTAGGGTTTAGGCCGATTTTGTTAGTGCTAGTAAACAAATGACGTAATTGCATGATTTCACGTGATGTGATGATCACTGGGGACTTCCCCTGCGGCAAAACATTCGTTTTTGATACACCTGCACCTACTTTTTTGATACTGATCGACATGCAGATCCCGGTAAAAAATAAA